GTAAGTTGGAGGTGAGCAGACTGGCGGGGGGGGGGGGGGCAGTTGGGAGTAAGCAGGCCAGCAGGAGGATGTCAGTTGGGGCCAAGCAGGCCAGCAAGGGAGGGGAGGCAGTAGGGGGCGAGCAGGCCAGTAATGAGGGCAGTAGGTGGCGAGCAGGCAGACAAGGGGGGAAGTTGAGGGCAATCAGGCCAGTGGGGGGTGGGGGAAATGGGGGTGAGCAGGCTGGCAGGAAGAGTGAAAAACTGGCAATGGGTCATCCCCCAAGAGGTCCCCATTGGAGAGAGTGCAGGCTGGACTGAGGGACACCCCCTCCCCGTGCACAAATTTTGTGCACCGTGCCACTAGTTATTAATAACAAGCTACAACATTCGCTAATGACTAATTACTACAGTTGTGTTGTATTCGTTTCCTTTATGCACCTTATGTGCTGTCACACCATTTCTCTTGAATATTTTAGCAGCTGATTGCCAAGTCATTAGTTTTGTACTGACTTATTTGGTGTGTATGATAGGAAATATTTCACTTTAGGAGAATAAGAAAAAAAGGTTTATTTGCATTACAGTTATTAATTTGTGCAGTTATTCAGTATCTGGTAAGTTAATGTTCAAGAAAAAATGTTAATTTTTATTAAAATGTTCTATTATTTTATGTTAATGATTACTTATTTATTTCAGCCCTTGAAAAGTCATTGAGGAGGCAGGTTCCTGAGGACTGACTTGCCTGTGACTCCAGACTTGGTGCTGTTTCCTCAACTAATAAACCCTTACTTTCTTGACTGCAAACTCTTGTTTAGTTTTGATTGTGTTTTTATTTTATAAAACTATTTTATATTTATAAAATATTTATATTTATAAATTATATATTTATAAATATTTATATTTATATTTATTTTATATTTAACTCAGGGCCCAGTGCACCAATTCATGCACCTTCAAAGGTACTGTGGGCCGTGAGGCTGTGGTAGGCACAGGAGTGGGTCTTGGCCCATCTTCTGCACCCCTGCCAGGTCTCTCCCACCATGGCCCCCGTCCCCTGCCTGCTGGCAGCCCTGCTCCCACTGCTGCCACTCCCACAGGCCCCGCTCCCACCCTCTGACAGCACGGAGCTATTGGGCCCAGCACCAGCAGTGGATGAAAGCTGAGCCACTGCTGACAGAGGGTGCGGCAGCTGCTATCCCGATTGCCCCTCAGGAGCAGGGGGCGATAGAGAAGCCCTCAGAGGTGATTGGGGCCAACAGCTGCTGCTCACACCCTCTGATGGCGCTGAGTGATCAGGACTGCCATGGCAACAGATGTGAGTGGAAGCTCTGGTTCTGGCTGCGGGTGCCAGCAGGGGCAGCGCTGGCAGGAGGTGCAAGTAGGGCTGGCACCAGCAGCAGGTGCAAGCACTGGGCTAGACCATGGTACACAGGAGTGAAGATTTTTTCAGTAACCACCAGAGGCTCGACCTGAAGACAATGATGGGCACCCTGCCTTGGACTGGTGCCCCTGCTCACCAGCTCCACTATCCCGCCACAGCCAATGCCCGCCACGTTCCACACATGCCCCCTGGTGGTCAGCGCACGTCATAGTGACCAGTAGGTCAGCCTCTTCAATTGTTCCAGTTGTTTTGCCATTCAGTTTATTTGCATACTAGCCTTTTATTATATAGGATGTTGAGAGTATTACAAATGTCCCCATCTTATGTACCTTCCCCTTCATCACAAAATTCTCATCCTGTGCCAGGCCTTCATCTTATATGCATATACATTTTTTGGTTAATCTCTTCCTGTTCCCCTTCCCCTATTCCCTTCATTATGAGATTTATCAAATTGTTCCATGTTTCTGTGACTCTGGTTCTATTTTATTCATCAGTTTATTGTGTTAATTAGATTCCATATATAAGGGAGATCATGTGATACTTGTGTTTCTCTGACTTATTTTGCTGAGCATAATCATCTCGAGGATCCTTCATGCTGTGTCAAAGGGTAATAAACCATCTTTTTTAGAGCTGCATAGTATTCCATTGTGCAAATGTACCACATATTTTTTTAGGAACATGTCCATTTCATCCACGTTGTCCAGCGTGTTGGCATATAGCTGTTCATATGATTTGCTTACAATTCTTTGTATTTCTGTGGTGTCGGTTGTTAACTTCATCTCTTTTGTTTCTAATTTTATTTGGTTCCTCTCTGTTTCTAGGTTCATAAATCTTGTTTATATTTTCAAATAACCAGCTCTTGGTTTCATTGATCTCTATGCCATGTATTTCTGCTCTTATCTTCATTACTAGAAACCTGGTGCATGAAATTCATGGGGGGGAGGAGGGGGCGGGGAGGGCATGCCTCAGCCCAGCCTGCACATGCCAAACTGGGACCATTTGAGGGATGTCCAACCGCCTGTTTAGGCCTGGTCCCACCAGGATCGGGTCTAAATGGATTGTTGGACATCCCTCTCACAATCCAGGTCTATTGGCTCCCAACAGCTTGCCTGTCTCTGCCTGATTGCCCCTAATCGCTTCTGCCTGCCAGCCTGATCACCCCCTAATCACTCCCCTGCAAGCTTGATCAACGCCTAATTGCTCCCCTGCTGGCCCAATGGCCCCTAACTGCCCTCCCCTATTGGCCTGGTTACCCCTAACTGCCCTTCCCTGCTAGTATGGTCACCCCTAACTGCTTTCCCTACTTGCCTGATCGCCCACAACTGCCCTCCCCTGCAGACCTGGTCTCCCCCCTCTTCATCTGCCCTAACTTCCTGGCCTGGTCTCCCCCAACTATGCTCTTCTGCTGGTCCAGTCATACCTAACTGCCCTTCCTGCTTGCCTGATTGCCCACAACTGCCCTCCCCTGCAGGCCTGGTCTCCCTCATCTACCCCGCCCCCTGCAGGCTTGGGTCCCCCCCAACTTCCCTTCCTTCCTGGCCTGGTCTCCCCTCAACTTCCCACAACTGTCCTCCCCTGCAGCCATCTTGTGGTGGCCGTTGTGTCCACATGGGTGCAGCCATCTTTGACCACATGGGGGCAGCCACCTGGTGTCTTGGAGTCAATTTGCATATTACTCTTCTATTAGAAAGGATGTCCTTTCTTCCACTTACTCTGGGCTTTTTAAAAATTGTTCTTCTAATTCTTTAAGTTGTAGTGTTAGATAGTTTATTATAAATATGTCTTGTTTTTTGAGGTAGGCCTATAGTACTATCAACTTGCTTCTCAGGACTGCTTTCACTGTATCCTATAGATTTTGGGTTGTTGTGTATTCATTTCCATTTATTTCCAGGAAGTCTTTAATTTCTTTCTTGATCTCATTGGTGACCCAGTCATTGTTTAATAACATGCTATTTAGCCTTCATGTGCTTAAATTTCTTTGAGTGTTTTTATTGTACTTGATTTCTAGTTTTATGCCATTGTGATCCAAAAAGATTCTTATATTATTTATTTTTAATATATATATTTTTATTGACTTCAGAAAGGAAGTATATATTTTTATTGACTTCAGAAAGGAAGAAAGAAGCGAGATATCATTGATCAACTGCCCCCTGCACACCTCATTATTGGGCATCAAGTCCCTGGGTATATACCCTGACCTGGAATTGAACCATGAACTTCCTTTGAGTCTTTGGTGGTTATAAATTAAAGACCTCAAATCATGTGCAATAAACAGTATATAAAGGTACACTGAATGACACACACACAAAAAAAATACATTAAGGGCCAGGAAACGTTCAAAGAACTGGGGAGCCATTCCCAAATCAGGAAGAGAAGTCACAGGGTGTATATTATTGTTATGGATACAGTATTTTCTACTACTTAAACCTATACAATAGAATGTATTAGATGCCTTCCTATTGCATGAAGTATGTATTCTCATAGAGTAATACTGGTAGATATATTATAGTTATGGCAGTATGTCATATCTTATCTATATTAATAAAAGGGTAATATGCTAATTAGACCATGAGGCCTTCCCAAAGTCCTTCCATAGAAAGCTATGGTGGTGGGGCCAAGGCAGAGGCAGTTAGGGATGATCAGGCTAGGAGGGGAAGGCAGTTGAGGGTTATCAGGCTGGCAGTGGGGGGGGCATTTGGGGTGAGCAGGCCAGCAGGCAGAGTGGTTAGGGGTGATCAAGCAGGCAGGCAGGTGAGCAGTTAGGAGCAGCAGTCCTGGATTATGAGGGGGTTGACCAACTGCCAGTTTAGGCCTGATCCCACAGGGGTCTCAGATTGAAAAGGATGTAGGTCAGGCTTAGAGACACCACCCCCCCGTCACCCGCCCTGTGCAGATTTCATGCACCAGGCCACTAGTCCTAATATATAAAAACCCAGGGGTCGTCACATCGTCACATCCTAAACGACTGGAACAGATGACTGAACAGGAGATCGCATGGGGCCACCAAGCCAGCAGGGTGGGGCAGTTAGGGATGACCAAATGACTGGGCCTTGGGCCCTGGCCAGCGAGGTGGCCAAGGGGAACAGCCTTCAAACTTGGGGCCCAGAGCTCCCTGCAGAAAGTACTTCTCTTTGTTTAGTCCATTGGTTTTCAGATTACACTCCCACAAATGGGGTAAGAGAAAACTGTTCAATGTGCCTTTGGAAATCACAAACTCTTGCTGAACTTGAGCAAACCCTTCCTGGCATAGCTGTTTTTGCACTTTTCAGGGCACTTTTGAAAAAAGGAAAGGGATCCAGTGCCACTATGGCTCTCTCGTGGGGATAGAGCTGGAAAATCAAAGTTTCCCAAAGAGGTGGAAGCACAGCGGGGACCCTCCCAGTTTGGGGAGGGGTGTGCCCAGACACCCCCTGTGCTCCAGGGCTGGGGCATGGCACACAGGGCAGGACATCAAATAGTAAACAAATAGTAAAGGTCCAGCAGACACCCAGCCTGCAGGCTGCCTGAGGAGGGTTGTCAGATGTATGAAGGAAAGGCTTAACATCTCTGTCATTGCTTTAGTTTTCAGAATTCCCTGCTCCTCATTTGTCATCACCACATGGGTGCAACTGGAATATTGTATATTGAGAGGATCGCCCCAATGTATGTATCTTTTTATCTGATGATGAAAAAAATCCCAAAGAATAAGAATGGAGACAGACTACTGTCCTATAGGGTTAAAAAAACCCAGAAGTGTCCTATGAAGAGCTGAGACTTGGTTCTGTCCATGTGTGTGGAGGGGTGTTTATCTCTTTTCTGCGTCCATCATGAAAATGGAAACAGTATGGTTACTGAGTGGAGGAGCTGGGGATTAAGAAAGTAAAGAAAGAAAGAGAGCAAGACACAGAAATAGATTTATAAAGCTGGAAGCTAGGTGGACACCATTCTCTCTGATGGAGAGGCAGCAAGAACCCTGATCTACACAGCAGTTCATTTTATAGGGTCAAAGGAGCTTATTTGCATTCTTAAGTAGGCCTTAACATTACTGGATTTACATATCTAGTCCCGCCCCTGCCAATACCTGGACAAAAGTAAGTAGTCAGAACTGAATAATACCCATCGCCTTCTTGGGTGGTGGTGCGGGGGGCTGGGGGGGGCGGGGGGGAGGATGTATCCAGGGACACAACTCTGCCAGTGCTCAGCTGACAATTTGTTTATTTCTTTATGTTTTTTTTTAGCTCGTTTAAATTTTTTATTTTTTTATTTATTTTATTTTTTTTATTTGAAATATTTATATATATTTTTTTAAATTTTATTTTATTTTCCCCCCTCCCTCCCTCCCACCCATCCCCTCCCTCCCCAGAGCTTTATGTTCATTGGTTGTACTTATATGCATGTATACAAGTCCTTCAGTTGATCTATTATCTCCCCCAGATCCTCCTCTCCTCCCCACTAAAATTTGACAATCTGCTTGTTGCTTTACTGTCTCTGTATCTATCTTTTGGTTCATTAGTTTATAATGATATTTATTATCCACAAATGAGTGAGGTCATGTGGTGTTTCTCTTTCATTGATTGGCTTATTTCACTCAGCATGATGTTCTCCAATTCCATCCAGGTTGCTGCAAATGATGAGAATTCCTTCTTTTTTATGGCAGCATAGTATTCCATTGTGTAGATGTACCATGGCTTTTGGATCCAATCATCTGCTGACGGGCACCTAGGCTGTTTCCAAATTCTGGCTATTGTAGATTGTGCTGCTATGAACATAGGGGTGCATATATCCTTTCTGATTGGTGTTTCTAGTTTCTTGGGATATATTCCTAGGAGTGGGATTACTGGATCAAATGGGAGTTCCATTTTCAGTTTTTTGAGGAAATTCCACACTGTTCTCCACAGTGGTTGCACCAGTCTGCATTCCCACCAGCAGTGCACGAGGGTTCCTTTTTCTCCGCAACCTCGCCAACACTTGTCGTTTGTTGATTTGTTGATGTTGGCCATTCTGACAGGTATGAGATGATACCGCATTGTTGTTTTGATTTGCATCTCTCGGATAATTAGTGACTTTGAGCATGTTTTCATGTGCCTTTTGGCCTTCCTTCTGTCTTCTTTTGAAAATATTCTATTTAGGTCCATTGCCCATTTCTTAATTGGATCATTCACATTCCTTTTATTTAGTTGTATCAGCTGTCTGTAGATGTTGGAGATTAAACCTTTATCAGTGGTGTTATTAGCAAATATGTTCTCCCACACCGTGGGCTTTCTTGTTGTTTTGTTGATGGTTTCTTTTGCTGTAAAAAAGCTTTTTATTTTGATGTAGTCCCATTTGTTTATTTTCTCTTTAGCTTCCATTGCCCTAGGGGCAGTATCAGTGAAGAAGGTCTTTTGGCATACGTCTGAGATTTTGCTGCCTGTGGATGCTTCTAGTATTTTTATGGTTTCCTGTCTGATGTTTAAGTCCTGCATCCATTTTGAGTTTATTTTTGTGTAAGGTGTAAGTTGGTGATCTAGTTTCATTCTTTTGCATGTGTCTGTCCAATTTTCCCAACACCATTTATTGAAGAGACTGTCTTGACTCCATTGTATATTCGTGCCTCCTTTGTCAAATATTAATTGAGCATAGTGATTTGGGTTGATATCTGGGTTCTCAATTCTATTCCATTGATCTATATGTCTGTTCTTGTGCCAGTACCAGACTGTTTTGAGAACAGTGGCTTTGTAATACAGTTTGAAGTCTGGTATTGAGATCCCTCCTACTTTACCCTTCTTTCTCAGGATTGCTGTGGCTATTCGGGGTCTTTTATTGTTCCAAATGAACTTTTGGAGAGTTCTTTCTAGGTCAGTGAAATATGCCGTTGGTATTTTAATGGGGAGGGCATTGAACCTATAGATTGCTTTAGGAAGTATGGACATTTTGATGATGTTGATTCTACCAATCCATGAACATGGTACATTCTTCCATCTCCTTACATCTTCCTCTATCTCTTTTTTTCAGTGTCGTGTAGTTTTCTGCATATAGGTCCTTTACTTCCTTAGTTAAATTTATTCCTAGGTATCTTAATTTTTTTGGTGAGATGGTAAATGGAATTGCTTTTTTAGTCTCTGTTTCTGTAGTTTCACTGTTGGTGTATAGAAATGCCATGGATTTCTTGGCATTAATTTTGTATCCTGCTACATTGCCAAATTCATTTATTAAGTCAATTAGTTTTTTAATGGAGTCTTTTGGGTTTTTTATGTACAATATCATGTCATCTGCAAATAAGGATAACTTTACTTCTTCTTTTCCAATTTGGATGCCTTTTATTTCCTCCTCTTGTCTAATTGCAATGGCTAGTACTTCCAGTACTATGTCAAACAGGAGTGGAGAGAGTGGGCATCCCTGTCTTGTTCCTTTTCTTAGAGGGAATGGTTTTAGTTTTTGCCCATTGAGTATAATGTTGGCTGTGGGTTTATCATATATAGCTTTTATTATTTTGAGGTATGATCCTTGTACTCCCACCTTGTTAAGAGTTTTTATCAGGAAAGGGTGTTGGATTTTATCAAATGCTTTTTCTGCATCAATTGATATGACTATATGATTTTTATCTTTCAATTTGTTTATGTGATGTATCACATTCATTGATTTGCGGATATTGTACCATCCTTGCATTCCTGGAATAAATCCTACTTGGTCAAGGTGTATGATCTTTGTGATGTTCTTCTGGAGACGATTTGCTATAATTTTGTTGAGGATTTTGGCATCTACGTTCATGAGGGATATTGGCCTGTAATTCTCTTTCATTGAGTTGTCTTTATCTGGTTTTGGTATTAGGGTGATGCTGGCTTCATAGAAGGAGTTTGGAAGTATTCCTTCCTCTTGGATTTTTTTGAATAGTCTGAGGAGGATAGGTTTTAGTTCTTCCTTGAATGTTTGGTAAAACTCTCCTGTGAAGCCATCTGGCCCTGGGCTTTTGTTTGCTGGAAGCTTTTTGATGACTGTTTCAATTTCTTCTCAAGACACTGGTCTATTGAGATTTTTAGATTCTTCCTGATTGAGTTTTGGAAGTTTGTATTTTTCTAGGAATATGTCCATTTCCTCCAGGTTGTTCAGTTTGTTGCCATAGAGTTGTTCGTAGTATTTTGTAACAATCTGTTGTATTTCGGTGGGGTCTGTTGTTATTTCACCTCTTTCATTTCTGATTTTGTTTATTTGGGTCCTCTCTCTTTGTTTCTTGGTTAGCCTGGCTAGAGGTCCATCTATCTTGTTTATTCTTTCAAAGAACCAGCTCTTGGTTTTGTTGATCTTATGTATTGTTTTTTTGGTCTCTATGTCGTTTATCTGTGCTCTGATTTTTGATATTTCCTTCCTTCTGCTTACACTGGGCTTTTCTTGTTGCTCCTTTTCTAACTCTTTGAGTTGTAGGGTTAGATCATCTGTTACCCTTTTTTCTAGTTTTTTGCAATAGGCTTGTAAGGATATGAACTTCCCTCTCAAAACTGCTTTTGCTGTGTCCCATAGATTTTGGATTGTTGTGTTTTCATTGTCATTTGTTTCCAGGATGTTTTTAATTTCTTCCTTGATTTCTCTGGTAACCCAATCCTTGTTTAATAGCATGCTGTTTAGTCTCCATGTGTTTGATTTCTTTGGATTATTTTTATTTAAGTTAATTTCCAGTTTTATGCCATTATGGTCTGAGAAGATACTTGATATGATTTCTATCTTCTTGAATTTGAAGAGACTTTGCCTATGTCCCAAAATGTGGTCTATCTTTGAGAATGTCCCATGTGCACTTGAGAAGAATGTATATTCTGTGGCTTTGGGGTGCAGTGTTCTGAAGATGTCAATTAATTCCATCTGGTCTAGTGAGTCATTTAGGATTGATATTTTTTTGCTGATTTTTTGTTTAGATGATTTGTCGAAGGGTGATAGTGGGGTATTAAAATCTCCTACTATGATTGTATTGCTATTAATCTCTCTCTTAATGTCCTCCAGCAGTTTTTTAATGTATTTGGTTGCTCCTGTATTGGATGCATATATATTTACCAGGGTTATTTCTTCTTGTTGGATTGTTCCCTTTAGTATTATGAAGTGGCCTTCATTATCTCTTATTATGTCCTTCACTCTGAGATCTAATTTGTCAGATATAAGTATTGCTACTCCAGCTTTTTTTTCATTTCCATTTGCCTGGAAAACTTTTTTCCATCCCTTCACCCTCATTCTGTGTGCATCTCTTTTTCTGAGGTGGGTTTCTTGTAGACAACAGATGTATGGGTCTTGTTTTCTTATCCTATCTGTTACCCTATGTCTTTGATTGGAGCATTTAATCCATTTACATTTAAGGTTATTATTGATAGGTGCTCATTTGATGCCATTTTTCTTCTATACCCGTGTTCCTTCTTCACTTCTTATTTCTTTATTTTTACAGTAGACCCTTTAGCATTTCTTGCATTGCTGGTTTGGTGGAGATAAATTCCTTCAGTCTTTTTTTGTCTGTGAAGCTCCTGATTTCCCCTTCAATTTTGATTGATAGCCTTGCTGGGTACAGTATTCTTGGATTCAGACCCTTCCTTTGCATGACTTTGTATATTTCATCCCATTCCCTTCTGGCCTGATAAGTTTCTGTTGAGAAATCAGTTGCTAGTCTGATGGGGGTTCCTTTGTATGTAACTTTCTGTCTCTCTCTGGCTGCTTTTAAGATTCTTACTTTGTCGATGTTGTTTGCCAATTTAATTATAATGTGCCTTGGAGTCTGTCTTCTGGGATTCATTTTGCTTGGGCCTCTGCGAGCATCTTGGATTTGTGTGGTTTTTTTCTTCTCTATTTCAGGAAAGTTTTCTGTCATTATTTCTTGAAATACTTTTTCCATGTCTTCCTCAGTTTCCTTTCCTTCTGGGACCCCTATTATTCGAATATTATTTTGTTTTGTATTGTCCCAAAGCTCCCGTAGGCTCTCCTCCTGCTTTTTAATCTTTTTTTCTAGAAGTTGCTCTACTTGGGTATTTTTTTCCATCTTATCTTCTAGCTCACTCATGCGGTCCTCTGCTTCATCTAGTCTACTCTTGATGCTTTCTATTGAGTTCTTCATGGTAGCGATGTCATTTTTCATTTCTTCTTGGTTCTTCTTCAGTTCCTCGTGGTTCTTCCTCATTTCTTCTTGGTTATTGTCAAATTTCTCTTCCATTCTTTTTAGCCATCTATGATCATTACTCTGAATTCTTGCTCTGACAGGCTGCTTGCCTCTGACTCGCTAACTTCCTTTTCTGGTGATGCCTGCTTTTCTTTCACTTGCGGACTATGTTTTTGTCTCCCCATGGCCTCTCTTTTCAGGATGTCTGGTTATGTGGTGTTCCTTCTCCTGCGTTGATTTAAAGGTACAAAATACAACAATACCAGGTACAACACAAGAGGCACTTAACAGGAATGTATTTACAATATTAATAACCTCTAATAAAGGTGACCACTAGAGAAAGGCAACTTATGGGATAGAAGAGAAGGAAGAAAGGTAAAAATAAAACAAAGAGAAATTAAAAAAAAATTTAAAATTAAAATTAAAAAAAAATCAAGTAAATAAAAAAAAGAGGGATAAAGAGATAGAAAAGAAGAAAAAAAGTAATGACAAAATGAAGTTGGAAAACAGGGGAAAAAAGAAAAGAGAGAGAGAGAGAGAGAGAGAGAGAGAGAGAGAGGGAAGAAGCAAACTAAAAGAGAAATGGGAAACAAACTATATAATATGTGGAGAAAATTGCCCTAGAACAACCTCTGAACCCAGCCAATGCCAGTAACAATACTTGGAGATTAATACAAACTACAATATCCACTATTATTAAGTAAGGCTATGATATACAGAAGTAAAAGAAACAAACAAAAACAGGGGATTTAAAAAAAATACAAAGCAACAATAATAATACAGGAATAAGCATAACAATTTCACTAAAAAGCATAAAAATTCACAATAATCAACCTTCACACAAACAATGCAAAAAGGATAGAGGGGAGAACAGTTTTGTTTTGTTTTTTTAACTAGATAATATAGTGCAGAGATTGGTATTTATACACTTGGATCAGGGGTTGGAACTTAGGTCTATAAGTATAGTGAGAGCTTTAGCAGGGGGTATACAGAAAGAGTAGAGGAAAAACTAAACCTGGAAAGGGATAGGATAAACTGTAGACTAAAGGGTAAAGTTTAGTAAGAGAGTGATGATGTAAAGGTTGAATTGAGATAGGGTTGAATGATGCTATAGTAGAGATTAAAATAGAATGAAGGTTACTCCCAATGTAAAATAAAGAAAAAATAAAATGGTACTGGAGAGGAAAGAAAAAAAAAAAAAAAAGAAAAAAAAGAAAGAAAAGAAACAAAAATTTCCAAATAGCAGTAGTAATAATGATGATAGAGATTGAAAAATGTAATAATTGAAAAGGTAAAATCAAGTAAGGAAAAAAGAAAAAAAATTATTTCTTAAGTAAAAGATATGAAAAAATGAAAATTAAATAAAAGATGTAAAAAATGAAAATAAAATAAAGAATAGTAAAATTAGCATAAAAATGTCCAGTAGTGGTCATTCACTTCCTCAGTTAATGTATTTGGCACGCCTGATTCTCGGATCAGACAGTCTTGCAGTTCCCAGCATTCCACTGCACCTCAGTTTTGTAAGGTAATCCTTAATTTTAAGTAGGCTATATCTTAGTTATTAGTGTCCATTTATTTTTGATTAATTAAAAGAAAAAAGAAAAGAAAAAAAAAGGGGGGGGCGGTTTGTAAATCAGCTCTTAGGTGTCAGTGTTTCCGGTTTGACCTCCCAGTCTTTTTGGTTGCTCTGGCCTTCTTTCTCTATGGCTTTAGCTGGCAGGGTGCCAGCTGGCTCCCAGACTATCTCTTCTGGTTCCGATCCCTTGTTTCCAGGAAGGCAATTTCCCCCTGCAATTTCTAGGATATGCCCAACTGTGCAGTCCTTCCCTAGTATTCCGAAGCTAGGGGGTGAAGGGGATCAGGCGCCAAGGTGTCCAGATGTTCCGCTCTTGGCAGGACAGCCACAATTCTTAACACTCTGTCCCGTGTCCCCTGGCGTTTTTTTTTTTTTTTTTTTTTTTTTAAATCCCGCTTCTGGGGAAGCTTACATCAAACCCAGCACTAGGTGTCGCTGCAGCCTTCTTTGTGCTCAGCTCAGCAGGCGCTCCCCCCTACAGTGGAGGCAGGGCCTCGCCGGAGCTCCGGCTATGGCTGCCTGCTCCGCGGGACCAGGAAACCTCAGGCTATCCCCACAAACTCTGACCTTTCCGTGGGTGACCGAAAAACTCCCTTGAATCCACATGTCTGCGCTGATTTGGGCTTCTCAGCTGCTCAATGGACCTCTCCGCTGGAGTTTTCCAGGCCTCAGAGAAGCTACTCCTTTCCTGGTAAGGTGGCGGAGCCCCCGAGCCGCAGCCCTCAGCTCGCTGCCACCTCCGCCACCGCGGCAGTGCTGGCCACCCGGCCAGGAAATCCTGTCCAGCGGACAGCTCCCTACCTTCCCAACTCCGCTGCCCCTCAGCTGCCAATCAACATTCCCTGAGCTGCTCAGACGCTACTTTTGTCTGTTCTGGGACCAGAGTCAGAACAAGTCCGACTGTTCGGTCGCCATCTTCCTCAAGCTCTCAGCTGACAATTTAAAGAAATGTCCATGTGCCTTCCCAGTGGGCCCTCTACATGTGTGCATCAGAGAGATTGGATGAGGAAATGGCCTGGCTTGGCCCTGACTTTACCCACTTGTTACTCTTGAAGGTGTCTTTGCCACAATGTGAATAAACTGCTACCTTTTGGAATAGGGGCTCATGAAAGTCTGCATTCCCAGCTTTTCTTGAAACAGATCTATGTTCTGAAGCTGTGGCCACTGTCCTGAGATCTGGTCCTGTCGACCAGGTCCTGTTGTGGGGAATCGGGGGGCACTGGAGTGGAGGCCCCCTGACCCTGTGCCCTTTTACATTCAGGGATTTAGCTGAACTCACTTTGGGGGAGACAGGTGTCACAGATGGAAGGATGGAGAATAGAGAGGCGGAAACCCTGCTCCCTGGGTGGGGTCAGGCAGATGAAGACCAGCCCGCCCCAGAGTTGGGTGAGATAGCATCCTCCATTTCCACCTCTCATCCTGTGGGCTCGGCCACTCCCCTCAGCTCCGGGCAGCCCTCTGCGTTCCACAACAGCACGCTCTGCCCTCACATGCTGCTCGCCCCAAATGAGAAGGAAGAGAGCAGTTGGCCCACAGACAAATACACAGAGAGATAGGGCTCATGGCTGGTGAGCACAGTGGTGGTGGCAGGAGCCTCTCCTGCCTCCATGGCAGTGCTAAGGAGCAGTGAGCTGAGTGGTAAGGAGCAGCAAGCAATTGGGCAGTAAGGAGCAAGAGGTCCTGGACTGGGTGAGGGATTTCCAACTGTCAGCTTAGGCCTGTTTCTGGTAGGGAATGGGCCTAAGCCGACAGGTGGACATCCCCCGGAGGATCCTGGACTGCAAGAGGGTGCAGGCTAGTCTGAGGGGACCCCCCCCCCCATCCAAGTGCATGAATTTCATGCACCAGGCCTCTAGTTAATAACAATAAGTCACTAGAGATACGATTATGCTTCTCTACTTTCATTTTTGGCTAGCCTGCCAGGAAGCTCAAAACTAATTTGTTGTTCAATCACAGCAACACAGTCATTCTTTTGGTTAGCATAATTGCTTTTCTCCATAGCTTCTATTGTTCTCCATTTGTAAATACCTGCTACACAGTCATGTGTGGTTTGTCAGTGTCACTATCCACACCCTCAGGTAGTTATTTTAACTACTCCATCTCTATGAGGAAGCAAAAGGCTGCTTTCTTTGTCACACAAAACAAAGCAAAGTAAAAACAACAAATCAGCAGGCATAAAACCCTGCAATAATCATGACCACAATGAGAACCAACACTTGCTGGTCATTGGGGTAAAGGTGCACCGGGCCACACACTGGGCCATTATCTTTGCTACACAATCTCTTCATCCCCAAAGCTTTTGCAGGTGACTCAGGCTTCCCACTTTCACCATGTGTTTCGCCTCTGGGGAATCTTTTCTTTTCAGCCATATATTTAAGCTATGGTTTCTGTATTTGACCTAAGATTCTAATTGTTTCACTGGGGAAGGATATTCAGGGAATTCAAGTTCCCACTATACAGCCTGAAACAGAAGAGGGTTTCAAATACCATACCAAAAAATCACTGGTGTTCTAATTATCTGGAACTGGCTTTCTTTGATTGTAAGTGGAGGGGAGACACCTTCATCAAGGCCATCGGGACTTCTTCTCTTTCAGATATTTGTCGCCTTTCAACTTCCAGGCTCTGCAAGCCCCTTCCAGACCTTGCAAGACTGGACAAGGGTGGGAAGACACAAGGCTCTAACAGGAGCAGCAGTGCATGAGGCTGAGCCAGTGGCTTCCCACTTTCTTAGGCAGACACAAATTTGGATCTCAGTGCTGTTTCACCACCTGGTCAGAGAGGAAGCCTTAGTTTGGTTTGGTTTGATTTGATTTTGAGCAAAAATTCAGTACCTTTGGTTCATGCCCAACTTTGGCCTCTGGGCCTTGGGATCTCCTTTTCCAGGATTTGGGGTCACTCTCTTCCTGAAGGCAGATGTCAGGTCTAAGTTGAGAGTGTTTTCAGGAATCAGCAACATTTAAAAAAAATTTCAGACACAGATTTTAACTGATCAGAAAAGACATGAAAAATGATTGACTTGGTTTCCATAATTTCATTAGAAAGGAAATATGTAGTACACACAAAAGACATAATCTCAGAATAAAAATAATTGGGCCATGTCAACTTTAGGACAAGCTCAGTCTTTGGTCTTTTTGTCTGGTTTCACTTTAGACTAATGGTATGTTTATCTTGGACTTTCAGATCAGGCTTGGGAAGCATTAGTATAATTACAAGGAAATGCCACGGACCACGGCCACCTACACCTGGTGACACTAGTAGTGCATAACTAGGGCCTTTATCAACCCAAACTCTCCACCTCCACTCTCAACCCTACCTAGGGTCCCCAGTCTCTCTCCCGTCTCTGGCTGTTCTAAGTGTTGGTTGGAGGAGAGGGGAACAGGATGGAAACTCTGTCACTTACTCCTATAACCTCTCTGGTCATCAGCTTCCTAATAGGGCAAAGAGAGACCAGATGAACTCTGCAACCCATCAAAAACATTGGGCTGAAGATTCTCTCCTCAGGCTCATGGCTTGTCATCCCTAGGCCTCCCCCAGCATGGAGAACTTGACCTTCTTATAGTCACCTTCTAAAAAGAAGTGCTGGCTCAGACTGGTCTAGCCTGCAGTGGCAGAAGCCCCTTGGTTTCTGTAGGAATCTTTGGCTCCAAAAAAGAGAGAAGTCTATACAGAGGCATCCAAGCTTTTAAACAAGCTTTCCCTACCAGGCGGTGGCACAAACAGAGAAAACATTTCATTAACCAGAAGAATGATTTGAGAAGGCCCTGTGATCAGCTGGCTCTCCCAATGGCATTGACTGGCTTCCTGATTTTGTTTCTGTGCTGAGAAGAGGCATTACCAAAGAACAGAATTAAACCGAACAAAATCTTTCCTTCTTAGTAGGTGCTAAACAGAGTTCAAATCCTAATTTGTGTCTACATGTGGTAGCAGGAAGCTGCAGGTTCAGTCTCTCTCAGAGAGAGCTTAAATTTCATTAAAAAAAAAAAATCCCAGCCTCTCCTGTAAGTTTTGGCCATGTCCCGAATGCACTTAATCTGGTGCCTGAGGTGCTCTCATTTGGTGGTAATGGCTCATGTTTATGGAATACCTCATGATTTGCAAAGCATGAAATCTGTACAAGGGCTCTATGTATTGTACACCTAGAAAACTGAGCCTCAGTACATGTTGCTTCATTTCTTATGGCTTTATTCTCACTATTGCAGACAGGCTTTCTCTACACAATGGGGAATGTGGTTGCTAACAGACCCTGGTTTCTTAGTGACAGGTTAGTGACACCAGGAAGGAGAAGACTTTTCTCCCTCACTTCAGAATATAAAAATTCAGGGAAAGGCTCTGGTAGACTTATCCCTGACCAATCACTAAAGTCTCCAGATGGAGGTCACATGGTTAGATAGGTCTGAGTCTAGGAGGTCCCAGGGATCTGATCCCAGTAAATTACATTACAGGAAATGGAGGGAAAGTTTTTCCCTCAAAGGTACATAGCAGATAACTGGAAAAGGGGTCCAAGCAGATGAAAATGAGACATGTTCATGAGATGTAGAAGGCAGTGACCATCTGCTGAACTCTGATGAGAGCCAGACACTCCACAAGGTGCTGAACAGATGCTATGAATTTTGATCTCCAAAACAACATTTACTGTAGGCATCATCATCCCCATTTTAACTGACGAGGAAATTAACAAGTTCTTTCCAGAGAGAGGAGCCAGAATCCCAGAAGCTCCAACCCCAAAACATGTGTCAATTCCCTTTTCTTCCAATGGATGGCTGTGGATAAGAGCAGCAATTTATTCCTTCTTTTGTAGCTATGAGAATGTTATGCTATAATTAATGATTTCTTGAATCTGGCTTGTAAAGGGTCATCCCTGTGGTGGTACTTGAAGCACAGAGCTCTCTGGAGGGACCATAGTGTGGGGTGGGAGAGGACAACCTGAAGCCTCAGGGCCCCAATGGTAGTAGGAAGAGGGGAGTTGGTAGGCTCCTGAGCATCCCAGCCAACTTTGTCACTTTATCCAGAGGTCTGGTATTTATCTGTTTATCTAAACATTCAGCAAAACTACATTTATTGACAATATACTTAAAGATACTGTTTTAATGATACAAGGTAAATCTTTCCATTGTCTAAGAAGCTCACAGTCGCCAGGGAGGAGAGGCAAGTATACGAGGGCAATGCACTAGTCCGTGAGGTGACAAGGCCATGCCAGGTGTGTGAAAGCTAACCCAGTGGGCAGGCAAGGCCTCACACAGGAAGAAACACTTGAACTGAGTCTATAACAATTAGTAGAAAGAAGTGCTATGAGGTTGTAATTTACTTTAAAATATGCAGTATAGACAAGGTGATAGTATGTGCTACAATATTTATACTGAATTCTAGTGGTCAGTCAGTTGCCCTGGTCAGAAATTGATACTTCAGATTATTTAATCAGAAAGTTCTCAATGTAATGATAAGGCCCAGACTCCAGCTTCCTTAAAGCAAAGGAAGTCAGAAGCTTTATTAAAGTAGTGTATACTAAAAATGGTGTAATTATTGGCTTCTTAATTAACATAATGGACAATATAAATGGTCTTTTATTGATTAAGTTAGTGGTATTTAATAAACAAGGTGTCCCCCCAAAAATAAATAAAAACTTTAACAGCTGATAGCTCAATTATGAAAATGAAATGTATTTTAATAAACACTGGCTTTATAATTATTCAAAGCATATGCATACATTTTTTTGGACACCCTAAATGTGAATTCAATATACAATGACTACAGTATTTCAGAGACCTTTCCAGAAGTCCATAATTAGAGTGTACAGATCTACTGTGGCTTTTAGTCTATGCGGTACAGTAAAACCTCAGTTCTTGCACTTTATTTGTTCAGGAAGGCTGCTCAGGAAGTGATTTGTTTGAAAACTGAATCATTTTTTCCCATTAAAAATAATGTAAATTTAATTAATCCATTCCAGACCCACAAATGATTCCCTGTTTAAACCTTTCTTTCTTCTTCTTTTTCCCCCCTTTCTTATATATAGTGCATGTCTAATGTTTGGTTTAATATTGAAATAAACACTTATTTAAAATAATTTATTGGACACCCTCTCCTAGCCTTAAATCA